GTTGGTTTCAGGCGTAATAAAATCAAAGCCAGGACCACTTCCCGCATACAGGCAGCCACACAGGAAGAGCTGCATGTTGGACGGCAGGAGTTTAGCAGCGGAAGAGTCGTGCAGACTGGGTCTTGAAGTCGGGGATGCCCGGTGGCCATTTCTGTTCAAACATTTGAAAGGATTAACCATCGCCAGGGCATGTGGCGGGATTCCTGTTTTGGGCTTCCTGTTTCTCCTGACGTTGAGTAATTTTGGCGGTGAGCAAACTCCCCATGCTATGATCAAAACGCACAGATATACCTGGATCAGCAAAATATGAAGGAGAGAGACCTTATACTTTCCAGGCACAAATATAAGAAGATAAACAGTACACAGCCGCGAGTGAACACCATGTTAATGGGAACATATATTAAGAGGTAACTCATCAGCATGCTGATGTGAAAGAGAGTTCAATGGGTACTGGCAATACAGAGTCAAGAAGCATCTAATGATACACTGCGGAACAAATCTGACAGCTGGCTTTTACTTGTCTTGCATAAAATATATTTTTGAAGAGTTATTTTATTTCCAGTCGTTGACATAATTTAACCACATAATGACCAGAAAAGCAGATACAATGATTCTTAAAGTTGGGTTACATTTACTGTTGTTTGTCAAATGTGACCCTGGACCACAAAACCAGTCATAAGGGTCAATATTTTGAAATTGAGATTTATCCATCATCTGAAAGCGGAATAAATAAGCTTTCCATTGATGTATGGTTTGTTAGGATAAGACAATGTTTGGCTGAGATATAACTATTTGAAAATCTGGAAAAATCTAAATATTGAGAAAATCGCCTTTAAAGTTATCCAAATGAAGTTCTTAGCAATGCATATTACTAATCAAAAATGAAGTTTGATATATTTATGGTAGGAGATTTACAAAATATCTTCATGGAACATGATCTTTACTTAATATAAGTTGGGTTACATTTACTGTTGTTTGTCAAATGTGACCCTGGACCACAAAACCAGTCATAAGGGTCAATATTTTGAAATTGAGATTTATCCATCATCTGAAAGCGGAATAAATAAGCTTTCCATTGATGTATGGTTTGTTAGGATAAGACAATGTTTGGCTGAGATATAACTATTTGAAAATCTGGAAAAATCTAAATATTGAGAAAATCGCCTTTAAAGTTATCCAAATGAAGTTCTTAGCAATGCATATTACTAATCAAAAATGAAGTTTGATATATTTATGGTAGGAGATTTACAAAATATCTTCATGGAACATGATCTTTACATAATATCCTAATGATTTTTGGCATAAAATACAAATTGATCATTTTGACCCATACAATGTATTTTTGGTTATTTCGACAAATATACCCCAGCGACTTAAGACCAGGGTCACTTTTTTTGGTCCAGGGTCACAAATTTTCACAGCCAAAATCCAGTTATTTAGAGGAATCCATGCAATCTGGAACTTCACTGGAAAAGTCGTCTGGAAAGTGACTTCTGTGCAAGCTGTACTTCATGCATGCCTGCAAAATCTGGCCGAAATTTCAATAATGTTACCACACCTTTACATGACAAGGGGACAATTAAACAGGATTTTTACTTTTTGTGAAGAAAATGTAAGTGAAAAAAAAAGGAAACTCTGCGTTAAAACTCTACATCAGAATGTTAAAATGTTAACCCCAGGATCATTGGAAAAACATGCCTGTGGCAACATTTCTACAAAATGATATGTTGGATGTACTTTGCATGTTTTGTGACACTATTAAAAATTTCCAGTGAGCAGCACTAAAAGTGCCTTTAGTTTTTTTCCAAAACAGATGTGTATCTGGTAGTTTAATTAAGTTTGTTGTTGCACATATCACAGCAGTTTGTTAATGAAATGACTGGTAAGTGGCATCAAAAGGTTGTGCAGATAGTATTAACAGAAGCCAGTGTAGGAAAAACATTTGCTGAAGCACACATGCCATTTTAGCTTGACTCTACAAGTCTTCTTGTTTTAGGGGACTCATACCCAAGCACTTCGCATTGCATGTGGAATGCTGTACCAGGTGAGCTACTGAGCAAGCTTACTATTTTAGAAAAGCACACATATGGACCCTTTGAGGTTATAACATAGTATTGCGCAAGGAGCTGCATGAAAATAAGTCTGTTAATATTAAACTTTAATCATAACTTGAAATCATAACTTGATAAGAAATGGCAGGTGTTTTACTGTCCCTACTTTTAACTGGAAACTGCAGTGGATAGTATGTATAGGTAAATTTTTGAAGTTTTCCAAAAAATGTAGGTAGGTAGTTTTAGTAGCTGAAATCATACAATGAACCAAAATAATGGGATGTATGCATGTGAATGATGGCTGTTCAAATTAAGATTTTCTGCAGGCACAGATTTGGGCCTCGTCACGCTGTCTGTTTAGTCCATTTCAGTTCTACTTCACTGCCAGAGACAGTGCTCGTCATCACATTCACTTCCAACAGGTGATGATTCCTGAGACTACGTGGATAACTGAAGAAGGGAACATGAGAAAAGGAGGTACGCGTGTGAATCTGGGCATGACACATCTGAGGAAAACAAAGCCTTCGTCTCTCTCACGGCACAAGCCTCCAGGAACATGCTACGCTAATTGCCGCTTCTACACAGCCCTGAGACTTAACACCATTTCACATTCTCTCATCAAAGAAAAACCACATGCTCAACTTTATGAAAATTTAATTCAGTATGTTCACTTTCTTCTCCCCCCACCTCTATCTTCCCTTAAAACAACTGCCACCAAAAAGGGGCGAGACAAAGAGACGGTGAGAGCGAGAGACAGTGTTTTGCAGGACCATTTCCTTCCTGCCTGGAAGCCCTACAGAAACTTGCTAGATCAAACTTAGAGAACTTCTTCAGCTGCCAGGAGCAAAAATTTTTTTAAAAAGCACCAGGAAAGAAGAAAGGAGAAACCTTAAAAAAAAAAAAAAAAAAAACATCAAGCAGGTTAGAGAATTTACTGTGTAGAGGCAGGAGACCTGATGGAGATCTGAAAACTAATTACTGAAACAGTGTGTGGGAAGGAAAGACAACAAACGTTAAGTTGAAGCATCTTCTGTCCCTATGGACCGTGTAAATAAACTTGCTGCTCTCCACTGATTGCCGGCAAGAGTTTCATCATAAATTCCCCTGTCACTCACAAAGAAGTCCAATTAACACTTTATCAACACAAACCCCAAATAAATGAGTTGAAAAAGCAATATTGAGGCATACTGAGAGCTTCCCTTAAAAATAAAAAAGCTTCTACACAGCGTCTTAGGCTCATTGTTAAGAAACATTTTTTCGCTATATGGAGTTTTTGACTTTAGCTACACTCTGTAATGACTAATATTGCCCAAAACCCACTGCGCTTTGGAGTCGTCTGACTTATTTACAGTTATGAATAAAAATTTTTTTTTAAAAAACAGGCCGTACTGCACAGGGGCCAGGATGGGCCAAATAACAACGAATTTCAAAATTGGTGATGTTCAATTCAGCTCCAGATTCGTGTCCTAAATTGCATATTGTCTGAGTAGGTATGTTCTATATAGCATGAATATATATATATGTATGGTATATATTGTTGTTACTCTCACATGATCTACCTGCATCAGTTGCGTTGCCTCGCTGCTATCTATAAATCCTCTCCTGTGGTCTCATGGGATAGTAAAATGTCCGTCAAATGCACACTTCAGAAGTAGTAGGTCATCCGGGTACTTTTCGCCATCTGTTTTTCGAATACTATGAATTCGGACATGCTACATTTTTGGCGTACAGTTTAGTAAGGAAGTATTCAATTTCTGACAAAGTGCACATATCAGTGACGTCGTCGAACTGAGCTCAGTATTTTGGCGAGTATCGTCATAAGCACAGTCTCAACTCCTAATAAACGAATAAACTCCTAATAAACGTAAACACTCAAATCTGCTCTTGACTTTATAACTTCTTTAGCTTTACCCTACAGAAAATGATCGACTTTTTCTTCTCAAAAAGAGTACGTTTTATAATTTAGTATAAGAATACGAACTGTGACGCAGCACAAAACTTTCGCCCTCTAGGGGTCAAAAAATAAAATTGCATGTGACTTTTCGATGTGTTTTGGCTCCACTCATCTGTGCGGATGAATGCGGTTCCAGGCACAGGTGTACTCGGGGATAAATAACATTTTTAGTGGTTTTTAGGCCTGGTGATTCCTCAGTGGATTTGCCATTTTGAAAGATTCAAGGTTAGTTTTCATTGTTCGCTGTGACAACAAACTTTCTGCTTCATGCTACCCACTTGCATGTATGCAATTTCTCATAAAACTTCCTATTTCCTATCATACAGAATTTAGGAAACTCCTTTTATACAGCATCATCAGGCTGAAAAACCACATGTATTTCCAGAATGATATATAATTCTGCGATGGGCATCTGTTTAAAAATGAGGAAAAGGGTTTCTGGGAAAGACCCTGTAACTGTTATAGCGTGTAGTGTTTGCTCCCCCTCCATTTAGTCATCCATCAGAGAGGTGGGTGTTGTTTCTGGCCCAACATGTCTAACGCACCGGTATAAATCACTCACAGTGATTTCAGGGTCCAGTGTTTAAATAATTAAAGAGCTTTAATTTATCAGGATTTAGCACCTTCAGACACGAGAGCTGACAGTCGCTGGGGGACAGGAAATGAGCAACAGTAATGGAGTTAGAGCGGAGGGGAGGGAGAGAGAGATATACACACTGTAACAAAATTGAATGCACATGCATTGAACAAGTGGGGGAAAGCAATATGTGAAGGAGGAAAGTAATAAAGTGTGTTTTTGAACATGCTTCCGATAACAAAATCAAGGCTAATGCTATAACAATAATAGCTAAAGCTACATTTAGCAGACGCTTTTATCCAAAGTGACTTAGGAATGAGAACAATAGAAGCAATCAAAACCAACAAAAGAGCAAAATATAGCATGTAATGTAATGTAAATGTATAAGTTTCATTTGAAACAGGCTTTTGAGAAAAGGTTTATTAGCTATACACAACCAACATACAGGCCAATGAATCAGTGCCATTAAGCACTAATAATAACAGCCCATGAATGAAATAGGCACATGATATGATTTATCTTCACAGTGGTAAAATCTGTGTCAAACAGCATGCAACACAAGTTTAACTTCATGGAACGCAACATTACACTTTTGTTCAATAGACTGCAGGATTTCAAACTAATGCCAATTAAACGGACTAATTTTACCATATCATAAAACTGCCATGTACAGTTTGACTGCTATATACTCTATTAACAAAAAACACCCTCTACTGAGTTACACAAACGCATTTGGAGCTTAAAGGAGTAGCTCACCCAAAATGGAAACTCTCTCATCATCTACTCACCCTTGTGTCATTCTGAACCTGAATGATTCTCTCTCATGTGAAACACAGAAGAAGATATTTTGAACTGTTATTAGTATCTATATATTGAAAGTCAGTGTGGTCCAAAGCAACTCCGTACATATATTTTTCTGTGTTCCACATGGTATAGAAATTCATACAGGTTTGGAACAACGTGAGTATGAGTAAATAACGACATGATTTTCATTTTTAGGTGAACTATCCCTTTAAGGGCAGATCCTATCAGTACATACCTCTTGATAAGTCATGGACTTGCCAGTAGCTGCACTACATAGTGAGCACTGCTTAGGTCAGAGAGTACAGAGATGATAAACAATATGGTGGACTAATGATACAATACTGCCCCCTACTGGTTTGAACAAGCTCATTTCAAACACTAATCTCAAAGTGGAACACACCTCTAGGCTTCTTAAAAGAACAAAATAAGACAAAACACACCGACAGAAAAAGCTTATTCCTTTGCTTCCCCTAAATTGCCTCTGAATCAGATGTCACTCTCAAGATCAAAAGAATGACCTAATGATTCAATATCAATATTTTCTACACTAGAAGCATCTGACAAGACTCTAATATCACAAGCTGACAGCCTGCTTCACAAACTATACTATATAAACACAAATCAGTTATATAATCTGAATTAATTATAGATGGGCAGAATATGTATTTTTACAGCGTCGAACGTATATGGAAATATTGTATATATGAATATATGGAATATATGAAATCACCAAAATTACACCAATAGGAACTTTGGCATGACCGACATTAGGCAGAACAATATATCAGAATAGCCCTGAATCCCAGTGTAGTTTGTTCATCTTTTAAGCATAAGCATTGGTTTTTGGTTATGTTACGTTCAGCTGGGATCCATATGTCCCTCACATCAGTTTTCCATGAGAGAGCGCTGTAGAGCTTCCTGGATCATGGCTTGCTCATCTGTAGCATAATCCTAATAATAACAATTAAAAAAAGGATGTAAGTCTCAGAGTATTTACTGTTCCATTTCTTCTGCTTTAATAATTAGTCCATTAGTCCATACAGCTTTTTCATTGTTCCCAACAAGTTAGACAAACATACATTGTTTAGTGCAAATAAAGCTCTGCTCAACTAAGATTTTTTTTTAATCAGTAATTCACAATATTAAAGACCATCTTAATTTCAACTGCAATTTAATTGAAAAAATAAAAAAATAAAAAAAGTTAAAATAACAGACCAACTGTAATTGTTAACTGTTAAGTTTATATATTTAATAAAATAAAAAAAACGAATGCTGGTTGCTCTATTTGTTTGCTTCTTTCTTTTTTCAACTTTGAATAAGCTGGACCAATAGTCCATCCATCCATCAAAAAACTTCAAGAAAAGGGGGTTCTAGACTGTTAAACAGCTTTAATAAACTGGTATTGGCTAAGACTATTTATACTGTTTATACCAAAGGACATATACAAGTTATGTTTGTTTACTAATTATTGAATTGGAGAACAGAACCCATGTTAAATCACTGAAAAAAGCATACAGCAAGACTGATCCGTGTTATAGCTAGATATAAAAGGAATATTAATAGGATATTTTTGTGTCAACACAATGACAATTTTTAGTTGTTTTTTTCACACTGGAAAACCAGAGCATGTAAATATTGTAATCTACTCACCACAAAAGTGTCATAGGAAAATGCATGTCTTATTCTGAGGTGTTGAAAGAAGTCAGCGCTCCTGTAATTAGAGTCACCCCAGGGCATTGAGGCACATATCGGACACACCTGCAGGAGTGGAAACAAGGGTCACAACTCCTGACTCCGCAGGTAACAGTTACTATTTCAGGGGCCGTTTACACGACAACGTTTTCAGCCAAAAACGGGAAATTTTTTATCCGTTTTGCCTGCTCGTTTACAAGACAACGGCGTTTCGGGGACTGAAAACACATACTTTTGAAAACGGGTTCCAAAGTGCAAGTTTTTGAAAATGAAAACGTCACCGTTGTCGTTTCCGTGTAAACACCCAAAACGGGATTCTTTGAAAACGGTGAAGTCATGCGCGTGCGTAGTACGTGTTAGGTATGTAGACATGCGAGAATAAAAAAGGCATGTAGACATTCGCAGAACGTGTCGATTTTAAAGGTAAGCACGAACAAACATACACAACAATGGCGGAGTACATGGCACTGTTGTTGCTGCTCAAGAGTTTGCAGCAAAGTGTGGATTTACTTCAACAATATTACAACCAACAGCGGAGACGCATCAAATACTAACCCGATCTCATGAAAGTGCGTATAAATAATACGCCAAATAAAAACGAAAACTCATGGTATTGATACGCAAAAATGGACTTTGGCATGTATATGCTACGCGATGGGTAGGATTAGGGTTGTGGGGTAGATGCGTATCATATGTACGCGAAAACTGCGGTTCATATGCACGCCAACAAATTTCGTATCATATGCACGCGAAAACTGCGTATTATATGCACGCCAAACACATACGTATCATATGCACGCCAAAGTCCATTTTTGCGTATCAATATCACGAGTTTTCGTTTTTATTTGGCGTACTATTTATACGCACTTTCATGAGATCGGGTTGGTTTGAAACCGATTTGGAGAAATTTTGCATTACATCACTTGCTCACCAATGAAAGTGAATGGGTGCCATCAGAATGAGAGTTCAAACAGAAAAATTAAAAACATCACAATAATCCACAAGTAATCCACACACCACTCCAGTCCAG